GCATGATGTGCAGGTGACGGGCTGGGAAGGCCTGGCCAGCCTCCACTGAAATGCCCACCCACTTCTTCGAGAGGCCTCTGATCCCCAGGCCCCCCAGGAAACCTCCAGGCTCTCCCCACCTCTTCCAGGACAGAAGGGGCCAAGGCACTGGATAAAGCCCCTCTGGGGATGGACACAGGCAGTTAGCGGCTCCCTGGACACACGGGCTGCAAGGTGACTTTGGAGAGCTAGGCCCAGGGGGCATGCGTGGCTGAGGTCCACTGGACGAGACCCCCAGCTCCACACCCTCCGAAGCGCGTGCGTCCTCTGCGGGGGGTTGGGGCGCTGTGGCAGGGGGCGGCCTGCCCAGCACCGCCTCCCCCACCTCCTGATGACACTCTTGACAGAGACGAGAGAAACAGAGAGGGAAGGTAAATAGCACGGCCAAAGACGCTTCCTCCAGGAAACAGATCTGTGCTTATCCAAGTCTCTTAATTTTTCCACTTTAAAAATCGAGCCTCACCCTGGCCAGCCCCAAGGGGAGCCCGCAGAGGCGGCGGTTCCGTCTTCGGCCACCAGGTGGCGCCCCAGACCCGCCCATCCCCACGCCAGCCTCAGTCTGGGTCTGGGGTTCTGGCCAAGCTTTTCTGGGCCCCTGGAGGTGGCGGAGTGTCTGCTGCTTGTGCAGGCCCGCAGAGCGCTCCCCACGGGTCGCCCTCGCAAAGTCGGCTTCTTGTTCTTATTTGGTGACTGGGGAGCAGGAGGGTCAGAGAGAAGGGCTCGACCAGGGGCGAGAGCTGGGCTGCCCTTCCCATGCCCGCCTCTCCTCGGCCCAGCCCACGCACCCCACAGGGCGCACGCCCAGGATGGTGGTGCAGAGACGGGGCCCCTGCGCAAACCAGAACGAGGGGCTCTGAGCAGACCTGCCGCGCCATCGGGGCACCAGCATCCCCAGCCCCCCGGGGACTGCCCCAGCCACAGCTCTGGGATCATGGGAGGGGACCCCCCCAGCCCTCCAGAGGACCCCCTTCTGGGGTCGCCCGGTGTGGCCGGGGCGCCAGACGCCCAGTGCGGTCCCACCCCTCTGTGCCAGCCCCGCCTGCCCGCCCCGGAGCCCGGGTCAGCAGGAGCCTGGCAGGGGCCCGTCCCACAGCAGCCAGGCTGCGAACCAGAGGAACAGCAGGGCCAGCGTTGCCGCCAGGCCCACGGACAGCGCCAGGTCTGAGTCCTCCGGACCCGGGAGGGCGTCGTCAGGGGCGTGGCGGGCGTCCGCGGGCGCCCCGGACAGCTGGGTGCCAGAGACCTTCTCCCAAGGGGAGCCTGGCCGGCCCATCTGTGGGGAGAGGAAGTGAGGGCAGGACACCCCCCCGCACCCCCCCACAGCCAGGGGAAGCGGCCCTCCAGAGCCCGGCTGTGTCCTCTTCCCAAGGAGGACGGGAGTGGGCAAAGGGTGGAGGAGTGCCCCTGGTCTGAAGGCAGAGCCCCCCTTACCTTCCCCAGACGAAGCTTGGGAAGCCAAGTTCAGCCCTGTAGCCCCCTGGAGACCTGTGCCCCAGTGCCAGGGCTCTGGAATGCAGCTCGTCCAGTTTCCGGGCACTCAAGCAGGCAGACTGGTCTGGAGGGGCCTTGTCAGCAGCAGGAGGAGCTGAGTCAAAGGTGCCAGCTGCCCTCTGCCCCCACAGCAGTGGCATGGTCCCCCAAAGAGGAGGGGGCGCCCAGGAGGGTGGGCGGGGGCCCGGGCAGCGGCGGGCAGGGCCGGAGGCCGGCCTCAGCTCCTCTGCACAGGGCGCATGGGTCAGGGCAGGGGACTTGGAGTGGCTGGGAGTGGAGGTGGCCTCTGCCCGGCCCGCCCCCAGCCCGGGAGGACAGCGGTCTGGGGTGGACTCTACCTTCCAGCCATGGGCTCTCCCGTCCTCGGCAGGAGCTGTCACCTTCCCAGGCGGGCACAGGGGAGCGGCGGCCTGAGTCCCCAGGTGCCTAGAGAACCCCTTCCCAGGGGTGGGGCTGGAACAGGGCCAGGAGAGAGGGGCCCAGCCCCCTCGTGGGTGTGTCCAGGGCAGAGAAGGGGAGCGGCCGCCGGCAGGTGTCCTCACTCCAAGGCCAGGGGGCTTCCAGCCTGGGACAAGGAAGCAGGAGGTCGCCCCCAGTGCCTGTGCTGTGCCGGGGTGAGTGGGGGCAGGACAGCGCTCCCCCAGCCCAGGCCCCGCAGACGCAGGAGGAGCTGACTCAGGGAGCCAGGTGAGCGCTGACTCAAGGGCGTGGGCAGCAGCCACCAGCCCAGAAGGGGAGGGCAGAAGGAAGCAGGACGCAAGACCTGGAGAGCCCACGCAGCCCGGGCGCAGCTGCGCAGGCAGGTGAGGGCCAGCTGCCGCGGCCAGCCCGCACTACCCTGGCCGCCCGGCCCCGAGCGCGACACCGTGGGACACCGTGTGCGTACCGGCGATCGGGGCGGGGTGAAGCACAGGGCCACGGAGCCCCTGGGGGGGACGAAGCTGGAGCAAGAAGCAGGCAGGTCCCCCCAGGACGAGAAATGGAAACCACGGTCTTGGAAAGGGGACCTCAGTCCTTCCCTGAGGGGAGCGCGGCCTGGAAGGAGGGATGTCGCTGTGGGCTGGGCCGGGCCAGCGGGCAGTGCCCACATAGTGCCTGGGAGCTATGTATTGGGCTCTGGCTGGCAGGCAGTAAGCTGATTCTTAGAAGAGAAACAGGCAGCATCAGGAAGGAGAGCGCACCTCCACGTCTGAGGTTCCAGAGCCGGAGATAGCCGGCAGAGGGCGTGGGGGCCGGAGGGGC